CGACGTCGGCGTGCGCACCAATCTTGCGGAGCAAGTCGACCGCTTTCTGGGTCTTGGCGGTCGACTCGACAGAGGCGTCGACGACAAGGGGGCACTCGGGCGTGTCCTCGACGCGGTGGCCGCGCGCCATCACGAGCGGCGTCACGCCCGACGCCGCGATCGCAGAGCACGCGGCGTACCGCTTCTGCGTCACGTTGATCTTCGCGTGCCACTTGCGCCACGTCTTGGTGGGCGCGAACATGCGACCGCCGCGGCACATGTTGCCGTACGCGCCCTGGCCCGAGCGGTGCGTGCCGCCGCCCTGCACGCGCGGGATGCGCGACACGGCGCGCCCGGTGCCCCACGAGGACGCCGCGCACGACTTGCCGGCGTACTTGTTGACGGAGTACGGCTGCCTCTTGTTCTTGGAGAGGGCGACCGTCACCTGGTGGACGACATCCGGCCGCACGGGGGCGAGGAAGACGCCGGGAAGCGCGACGCTCGAGCTGCCGGCCGCGCCGTCCGCGCCGTAAACAGTGACTGTGGGCCTCGAAGCCATTGTGCGCGAGGGTACGGGAACCAAGCAAAAAAATGGCGAAGCCCCTCGTCGTGTGAGAGTGCGTGTCGTGTAAGCCGAGAGAACAAGGGAACGGCAGGCGGCGGCGGCGCAGGACGAGGCGGAAGAGAATGACGCGACGGAGGAAGTGACAAGGGAGAGAACGACGAGAATGGGACGGCCGCGAGGTGGCATGAAGGTTGCAGCGAGAATCGGCGAGAGACTGCGAAAAGAGATAGGAAGAGGCAGACTCCCTAGGGTGGGCGACGGCTAGCGCATCACACTCCTCTCCTTAAAATCCCTGTGTGGTGGCGGCGTGCCGTTCTCCCATCCCTCCCTTGGGTTGTCTGCGGCCATGCTATCACGCCTTGCGACATCCTTTCGGCGCTGCTGACTGTGCCATGCTGCTCAATTGACCGCCTGCATAGCTCGCGGCCTTAGTCTTTGGCATTCAGTGACGACCTGATCGTACGGCCAGTAGGAAGGTGTCCTTCCAGCGCGTGCACGCTTCTGACGCAATGCGCGTCACAAACTGCCTCGGATTGGCTGCTGGCACTCTCGAGGCTATGCCTACACAGCCTCGCGCGCATGGGCAGTCAAGAGGGACCATGCACCTTCTCAGGACAGCGCCGGTGCCTCTCTCTTGGACCGGCAAACGTGGTGGTCTCGTGTCACCGATGTGGGACCAGTGCGGCATCGCGCCATCGACAGCTCTGAACTGCGCCTCACCACTGACCGGGAAGGCCGCCAAGTGGGTCAGCACCGGTCGCACATTGTGGCAGCAGTCAGCAGCGCATGTCTGATAGCTAGAGCAGCAGCGTCAGGGTCGCAGGGTCGGATCGTGTCAAGCCTCTCGCCCGGCCGGCCGTGTGCAGATACGTCGGCCTGTCTGCTGTCTGGAGTGATCTGTCGGCGGTCAGTACGACCGATCAGGTCGGAGTTTTCTGATGGTTGGAGGGTCTATCTGTATGTACTCCTCGAGATCTCTCCAAATCTGCCCTCTGATTAACCTAGCTTAATCGGGAAGTCGGTGCTAGTAGAGACTAGTAGAGCCGGAGCCCCGTTTCCGCACTGCTGCGCGGCGCACGGTGCCTCCGGGGGCCCCCGCCTCCCCCCAGAGGTGCGACCGCTAGACGGCGGTCTCCGCCGGCCCCAAGGCTGCCCAGCCCCAGTACCACACCGGCCACGTACACCGTGGCGCTGGAGTCGGTCAGTGAGGCACTAGACGGGCTACGGAACCATGCGCGCGCCGGCCGGACAGGCTGCGCGTAGGGGCCGCGCCGCCTCGATTTCGCACCTCCGCTCCGCGGCCGACTGAGGGGCCAGCTCGCCCGGCGACAAGCCCAGCCATCGCCCAGCGCCCCGTATCGACGGGGGCCACGCAAAAAACCCGCACCTACGACTAGGGTGAGTCCGTGAGGGCGTCGGTGTCGGCCGCGGGCGGGCTGCGAGGAGGGCGCGGGGGGGAGCATGGGAGATGCTCCACCGCTCGACGAAGACGCGCCCGACGAAGCCCTGCTTGCGGAGGATGGTCGATCCTCACCTACTAGCGTCGGGCGTGTGCGAAAAAGAGCGCAAATCGGAGCTCAACTCGCGCGCGGCTGGGAAAGGGGTGTGGCACCCCTCCGAAGGCGCCTCGCGAGGAGCTGCTGCTGCCTCCAAACGCGCTCGGGCAGCACGTCGGCGCGCCTGCGGGGTTGGGGAGGTGAAACTATGCTTGCTGGCACGCGCATCCCGCACCTCCCCCACGCCCGCGCGCACCATGCCGCCGTCCCACCTCACAGCCAAGCGCGATCGCCGTCGCACGCGGCGACGCCGAGCGGTGGCCTCGCAGACGACGAGCGCGATGAGGCCGCCGCGCCGCCGGGGTGGCCGGCGCGTGCCAGCCGCTGGCCCGTCCAGCGTGGCGGGGTCGGCTCGCCCATCCTGGCCCGCGCGCTAGCCGACGCGAGAAGATCGCGCGAGAAGGCAAAATGTGGCAAAATCGCCCTGTTTTCCCACCCTTCACGGCGACTTCACGTCGGAACGAGTCGGATCGACGACTCGCCGCCTGCACCAGCGTGTGCGCCTCGCAATTCTATACAGAATCGATACTTGGTACGTCCTCTCAATCGCTCGTGGAGAGGAGCTACGGCCATTCTCCACTTGTGTTTGACGACGTCAAACAGTGTTTGACGTCGTCAAACACGATCGAGTAACCGATAAGAGCCACATACATTACACTAAACATACATACACTGAGAAGACCAAGATCCTGCTACAGGGGGCAATTCTGCTGTGGAGAGCTACTGTAACCCATGCCTCGGGATTGGGGGCGCTTTTGGTCCAATTCTTTCACGAGGCGACCCCAGGCAACCGTGGATCTAGGTAAAGAAAGAAAGAAAGAAGACAGAGCCCCAAGGGAGGGATGGGAGGACGGCACGCCGCCACCACACAGGGATTTTAAGGAGCAGGTAAAGAAAGAAAGAAAGAAAACGGACAACCCAAGGGAGGGATGGGAGGACGGCACGCGGTAGGTTGCGGCCCGCGGAATTCTTTCCGACGGCCTGCTGGCCTTGCGCCGCCACGCCAGCCAAGGCGGCTCGAAGCCAACTTATGAAGGCAGTCCGCTCCGCCACCCGCTCGCGCAAGAAGTACGAGCACGTCGAGCTCACGCCGCTGCGAGACTCGGAGGTGGAGGACGAGCGCGAGTCGAGCGTGACGCAGCAGTGGCTCGAGTATGCGTGGCGAAAGTTGCTGGCTCTGCTGTGGATCCTCGTGGCGCTCGCGCTCGCCGTCTACCTGCAGCTGCCCGACATTGTCCTGACGGGTGCGACGCGCGACAAGCCTCACCGGCAGATGAATGGCTTCCTCTTCAACGTGGCGCTGGCCTGCTTCGGCGGATGGGGCTGCATCGCAGCGTACCTCATCGTCTGGGTCAAGTACGTCCAGAAGGACACACGCGAATGGGAGGAGGTATCGCCGCGAGCCATCCCGATCGCCACAATCCTGGCCGTCCTCTCGCTCTTCTCCTTTTGCGGCGCCTTTTGGCCCCTCTGGGGCTTCCTCTCCGTTCCCATCGTCTTCATGCTGTTCCTGGGCGTCCTAAACACCGCACACTTTGTGCCGATCTAGCACCTGGCCGCTCGAGGAGTCAGACCCAGCCCTTCATTTGAGCGAACGCCCCGGGCGCCGGTACTCTTTTGGTCGCCTCATCCTCGTCTCGCCTCGTCGTGCTGGCCCGCGGGACGCGGGGCGGGAGCGGGCCGCCAGCGGGGACCGCGGACCGGGCCGGCGGCGCGATTCTCAAAGCGCAGTTTTCAGCATATTCCCGAAATAGCAGCGAGAGAAGACCTACGCTCATACGAAAAGGAGCCGAACGAATGCATCTCGAGGTTGGTGGCCGGCTCTCTTGTAGAGAGGTATGCGTATCCATGGGAGCCGCTGGCAGTGGGTGCACCGCCACCGCCGCACCGGACCGAGCCGCCGGACCGCGCTCGGCGCTGCCCGCTGGGCGCGCCGCGCGGGAGCAGTGTGATCATGTGCATACACATCTCTCCCAGTCAAAACGCAGCCGGTCATGCAAAACGGGCCTTGAGTGTGACCGAAACGCGTACGCACCGGCACATTGTCGGCCGATGCGCGGCTCGCCGCCCACCCCACGCGGTCCCTAGGTGTTATGTAGCATAAACACGCCGTCCGTGCAGGGCTCCTAGGCCATCACTAGGTCAGCTCTACGCGGCTAGCGCCTTGCGACGCCGCTTTCCCGACGCAGCCTCCTCGCCGCTCGCACGTCCCTGGGAGGGCGCCCGCTGCCGCTTGGGCGTCGCCTTTGGCGGCTCCTTGCTCGGCGTTGCCCTCGGCGTTGCCTTGCTCGGCGTTGTCCCAGCTGCCCTCCTCCTCTCAGGCTTTGCGGACGCCGGGCTGCGCCTCTCGCCGACCTTCTTCCTCCCCGCGCCTTCGCCGAGACCAAGCAAGCGCGCCGCGACCCGGTGCACCGGCCTGCCGATCTCCGCGCCCTCCTCGCTCTGAAGCCGCCACTCGCCGAGGCTGCTCGCAACGACGCGGCAGGAATACGCCAACGAGTAGCATTGCTGCAGCCACTCGAGTGCGCGCGCCGGCTTCTCGAGCATCTCGGCGCGGCCGTTGGCCGTGCAGAAGAGCGCGGTGAGCTCACTCAGCTCCGAGGCCCCGGCGTGGTGCGCGGCAAAGCGCTCCAGCACCAGAAGAGGGTCGAGCAGCAACGCGGCCCGCTGGCACACAAACGAGCAGCGGCGCAGCCGCATCGTGAGCCCAGACGGGTCGAGGTCCCACTGCGAGACGAAGCGGAGCTCCGACTCCGAGCCCACCGCCTCGCCCGTCAACGCGCAGGCCTGCTGCCCGCGGCGGGCCCGCACGAGGACGTCGGCGAGCGCGGCGCGCTCCTCTGCGCCGTTCGCGCCGCAGAGCGCGGCGAGCGCGGTGCCGCGCTCGCGGTCGTCGTAGCCATCCGGAATGACGGAGGGGCACAGCGTCGGGCAGCGTGCCCGAAGCTCGGAGAGCATCGCGCGAAGCCCGGCGACGTGGTCCGCCATATGAGTGTGACCGGGCAGCGAAATGAAGAATTTAGACAAAACGAAATGAAGAAAAACATCAGAGTGCTCCCAAGAGGCGCTCGGACACACTTGAACGAAACGGATGCGCCTGGAAAAAATCGCCACGACAAGTCTGTGTCCTGTCCTTCGCCCACCTTCTATTTATTTATCTTGTGAGCCTGTTTGTGAGAGCCCAGCTTCGGCTGAGGGCTAACAAGCTGCCGAGCCCAAATCTCTGTGAGAGTCGTGATTTCTTCTGTTTGTGTCTGTGTGATAGATAGATAGATAGATAGGAAGGCGAAACACAGATCACAGTCCGACCAACGACTGGGACACCAACGCGGTATGATGGGTGGACGCGGGACACGCCTCCTGACACTCTTCATTCTCCCTCCTTCGTCTCCTTCCTGCCCGGAGACTTCCTTCCCGGCACCCTCCACTTCCCTTCGC